AACATCTTTTAGATAAACAATTAATAAACATAAAAACCAGAAAGAAGAACTGAAGCCTCTTCTCGTCCTTCGATACGCGGGCTGCCCCAAGGCCACCCCGGGCCTTTTCAGGCCCCTCAAACAGCCGAGATAAACCGGACACCCTAATTGGCTCTATCACTGGTTTTGGACACCTGTACAGTGCTTTTTTTTGGCTCTTTGTTTGTTTTCAGACTATTAAATCCAAAAAAAATAATGTTAGCCAATAGCACTGAACAGGGTTTTAGATTATTTGGGTTTAGTTCCATCAAGGTCATACCTGGGTCTCTGGAACCAAGGTTTAATCCCTCAAATCTCCATTGATAAGTAAGGGATAATCATTTCTCTGTCTGTCTGGTCTGCTTGGATTAACACTCTGCAGGATGTTAATTCCGAATTCTTCCCTGGCAAAGGCAGCTTCTGCATGGAGGCTGAAGGTACAATTAACATACACATAATTATTAACCCAAGCAACTTTTTGCCCCCAGAGAAAGCCCTTTAAAGTCATCATTTCAATTTCACTCTTTTCAAAAGTCTTATATTGACAACTAAAACAAGTGAAAAGTAAACCTCATGACAACTAGTTTTGGCAGGAACATTTAGATGCAACCATCAGTGAACAGGGGAATGAGTGCAAGGGGGATTTGAACATTGTATCTGCTACATTTTTTACTGTCCTTTGGCTTCAGTGCCTTTAGAATTGAGGTCATAAAATGTCCCTTCCCCATTTGGACCACAGACTTTTCAGTGTTCTCTTCTGACATTTCCCTGCCAGCTAATGCAGTTTTCAGGTGAGCACACAGGTTGACAACACAGTGAAAAGGAAAAGAGAGGTGTAAGAAACCAGCACTGAGTGACAAGCTGCTGAGTCAGCCAGCAGCAGAAGGAAGAGGTTTACATTCTGTCTACATGGCATTATCAACCTACTTCAAAGTTATTACAACTCTAAATCCTATAAAAAATTCAAGGGTATTTTAAAGGTTTGGGCTTTAGGGTAGGGATTTATCGCTTTTCAGCTTGTTAATACTCAAATTTTCCTTGCAAACTCAGACTGGAATTTTTAATGTAGGTATAAATACAACTTCATTTTGTCACAGAAGTTTGAAATTTCTAAAAAACATTTTAACATTTTGAGATTATAATATTAAAAAATGCTGAATCAAAAAATGTTTTCCACTCCTTAGGGAATTCCTAAGCATTCTTACTGCCTGTGTCTCAGTTGTAGTCTCAAATCCACAAGACATTAGCAAGCACAGTATTTTGGTTTCAATGAACTGCACTCTTGCCACTTAACAAAATAGGAGAAAGCTTTTTGATGTCTCTCAGGCAGGAGCATTTAGCATTTAGCTTGATCCCAAGGAAGGAAGTAGGTTTTAGTTCTCCTTCCCCAAGTCCCTGTGATATGAAATCGCTTCCTCTGGTGATACCACAAACTGAATGTCCCCAGATAGGGGCAAACCTCAGAATTACAGGGAGCGCCTCCAACTCTGCCCACTTGTTCTTTACATAGCCATTTCTGAACCAGCAATATCGGAGCAGCTGGTTCAGAATACCCAGATCAGGACAAATTGTATTCATTTTATGGCTGCCCAGCACAAACACAGAATTTTGTGGTAAGGAGAGCACCTGCTTTTGGTTCACAGAGGCCTTAATCCTGTGTATGATGATGGCTCCTCCTCTGGGTGTTGGAGGGAAGAAAAGGAAGAGCTGATGCCAATAGCACAATTACTGTCTCAAAGGGGTTGGGATGGTTCTGAATCCAAAACAAGTAAAAACATCCTACAGTCTTCCAAATATCAATGTTCTGAGCATCAGCCATTCCACTCATTCCAAGAGTATTCTGGTAACTGGGAAGCAGCTCACAGCAATGCTGAGGCATGGCTCACTAGCCGTATGAATACATCACTATTAAAAGAAAGTCCATGATGAGCAAACTTTGTCAGTCACTGGAACCCATTGGAAGCATCATTGAGTCAGTAAACACTTTGGAATTAGTTCAATGTCATAAAAAATGGCTAAATGTCACCAAGTTCCTCAAGTTATTGCTTTGCAAGATTTATCTGAGTATCACAGAATGGTTTGGGTTGGAAGGGGCATTAAAGATTATGTTTCCAAACTCCCTGTCACAGACAGGGACACCTTGCACACCAGGTTGCTCAGAGCCCCAACCAACCTGTCCTTGAGCACTTCCAAGGATCAAACATCAAACTTCATTCAACCAAATTTATGCCTCAGAAATGTTTAGAAACACAAATAAGTGAACTGATGACTGTTAATGGATCCACAACAGCAAACAAGCCATGAGTTGGGGAATTGTGAGGCATCTAGGATGTCCACAGTTGGGCTGACAGGTCTGATGCAGGACATCCAGCAGACCATGGTCTGCAGTACACCCAGGGATGTGTGAAATGATGCCAACTCTCCAACTGAGAGACAATTAAGTGTTGATAGACTTTCTGGTGTGGTGCATTCTACATCATGAGAAAGCCTATCTTCCTAGAAAGGCTTATAATCAAAACAGCCACACAAGGGGTAAGGGAAAAGAAATTTTCATCCAGTTTTTATGTAAATAGCAGAAAGAGACAGTGATTTACTTAGAATCACTGAGGAAGTCTATGGTTCATAGGTGAGTCTCATTCTGGTTCATCAATCAAACACCACACTCCCATAGCCCCCATCTGTGAGCACAGACACACCATAGTAGGGTGCACTGTCTGAAAATGGGGTACAGGGTTCCCCAAATATTCCCCCAGTGCTGTCTTGGGACTACAGATTTACGAGGGAGTGCACAAGACAGAGCCCCGTCTGGGTCATCCAAATTTTGCTGGAGAGAAGCTATGTCGGGAAAGTAACTGAGATGAAGGAAACAAAAATATTGCTTTAAGTACTCCTGGATTCCCTCCAGGATCTGTGTTAAGCACTGCTGGCTAAACACGAGAATTTTATTCTTCTCCTCCCTATTCTTCTCAAAAAGTGATGCTCCTATACTGATTTTAGGGCAGTGCACATAACAGTGTTGTGCCAGGAGTCAGAACGTTCTGACTCTGCCTGTAACACAGCCTCCCACCGGACAGAATCATTTCTGTGTGGTTAACATGGACACAGAAATGCTCTGCTTCCAGAGCCAAAGAGACACAACCAGATCATTAATTATTTCCATACCTTCAAAAGCTTCAGAGACAAGTAAATTGTCATGGAAGTTCATGCCAGAACTTGGACCTCACACAGCAGAAAACTCTTGGTTTCTTGGGAGCCCATCCCCTCAGGTCTCTCAAGCTCCTTTCATGGACAAGGCAATTAGTGCCCTGCAGACAGGATGGACATTGATGGATCCTGTGTCCTCAGTGAGTGATTGTAAGATTTTCCTTCCCCCATACTCTTATGATTTAAGATCTTCCCTCTAAATTTTATATTTCCTCTCCTAGATATATTTTTCAGCTTCACTTACATAGCTAAGGGTTTGTCCCAAAGCAGCTTCTCCTCCCCCAGTTTCCTCTTGCCCCTCCTCACTTGCTGTGAATAAGAGCTCTCTGTCTAAAGCAGCAATTGCTGAAGAGCCTCAAGAGTACCCATTTCTTGTCCTCTCCCTGTTTTGATGCACTGATTACCCTCTTGTTGGATCAATAGCCCATCTGCTTTTAGAAGTTTTCTAGCATTCTGATGCTAAATTAAAACAGAGAGAATCAATCTTCAGTTAATTTACCCAACCAGACAATTTATATCTCTCTTCTGATCTGCCATGATGTGAATTTATACAGTACTGACATACTGTGAGGCCTTCCCAGACAAAGTAAGCACTTTTATAATGCTAAATTATCCTCTTTATTAGTAACTCTCAAATATGACAAGCCAGGAGATTTATTGTATAATGGTGCATAGTCCTTGGTTGAACTTGTTAAAACTCACAGCTATTGTAATAGAGCAATTTGCTAATTAACAGTGGATTTTTCTTGGTTTTTAATGGACTTTGGGGATACATTTTGGACTTAGATTAAGATTAGTGAAAAAAAAAGTTCTTGTTAATTATTTCAAATTGAGCATTATGCTAATAGTAAACAATTAGTTCTTTCCTGACTGCAAATTAATGTTCTATAAATAATTACAAAACCAAGCTGCTGAGTGAGTCCCAAAAGGAGATGCCAGACTTAGAAAAAATTCATGATTTATTCTTGTAGGTTAACCACCATGGCCTCACTTTGTGAAAATTAGGAATGAGCCTTGGTGGCTTCCTAGGATTTTTCTACCCTGGCTGAAAAAAAATAGATGAGAGAAAGAGAGAGAGAGAGAGAGAGAGAGAGGGAGAGGAAGAGGGAGCTAACCTGCAGAGGGAATTTTTGACAGCAAAGGTGTATGGTGTTACAGTTTGCCAATTCTCAGATCACTTCTCAAATCAAAGCTCAATTAAAATATTAGCATCCATCTCACCAGAGGTCTGCCACTGTAAGAACGTAGAAATTACAGATTTCTGTAAGAAATAAATATACTTTATACTTGCTTTTGCATAGGGAAAACTGGGAACAGAAAACTGGGAACAGAGAAAGTTGAATTATAGCCATTGATCCCAGTTTAGTTTAGTTGATAAGGTAGGAGACTGATGTACATCTTCTTACAGGCCACCTAATTCTCTCCTTGAACTCCTAGGAGTTAAGATGTTCCTTTCTATGGCTGCAAATGTTTGATTATTCATTTTGATTTATATTTGCTTTTTCTCAGGATTCTAAGCTCTTCAGTGTCTTTCCACACCCTGGTAGATGCCCTCTCCAGTCAGTGGAAACAGTCAGACACCACTTGTGCCTAAATCAGTGAAAGGTGGGATCTCTAAACTCACAGAGTAAAAGGATTTCTCATCATTAAAGTTCATGTTGTTGTTCAGGAAGCAGAACAACTCCTCTGGGCATCAGCATCACTTAACTCAGGAGGACAAAACTTTTGCAGCAGTCTGTCATGGCCTTGCATGCCCTGTCCCCAGCCCATTCCTCTGGCAGAGCTGAAGGTGTGCCTGCCATGCCATGGGGTGCAAGAGCAAGGAATGCAGCCAGGAACCAGGGCTCCCAGGCTCTGCCTTCTCAGCAGATGCAACTCTACAACATCCACAGACTTTTGGTCAGCAGTGGAAGAGGAAGAGCTGCCAGGATGGTGGCAGGCCTAGGGGAAAAGTACATCAGGACTTGATGGTACTGCTGGGGATTTCCCTCCATCCTGCTGCACTGAGCTGCACCTGCCTCTCACAGAGACATTAACGCTTCTACAAAGCGTTACATGGCACAGCAGAGCCACAGAAATCAATAAAATTTGCAATGGACTATTGCCTTACTTTTCTTCTCTTTCCTGAGCATTGGTTTGGAGTCTGTCAAAGCCTGTAATAACCCTGCCATTCCTCTGGGCTACTACCTTAGTCTAGCAAAGGGGAAAAAATCAAAGATTCCTTACTAAAGATGTGACATTTTCTCTTTTTTATATCCTCTCTCAGTGCATCTTCCATGCCTTGCTCACACAGGGTGCTGTTCTCATCTTGTACCTTTGTGTTAGCCAGATAAAAAATCTCCTCCCAACTCCTACATACCAGCACTTTGAAGTGTCCAGAGACCTTTGCTAAAGAGGTGATGATTCTTAATGTCCAAGAAGCATCCAAACCATAACTACATTGTGGGAAAGAAACACAACAGCATGAGCTTAGAGTTTGATGAGTGTTTGTTCTCCTAATGTACCTCCCAGGCTTGTGTCAATCCTGAGGTCTTCCTCTAAACCTGAGTCCTTAGGTGAGAGGGAGAGGAATTTGGTCTGCTCTGTAAGTAGAATAAGATTCTAATTTGCTGTCAGAGCTTTAATTAAAGCACTTATAGATCAACTTTACTGTGTCAAATTCTCTATGCCACTATTACTATAGGAAGATGAATGTTAACTGTGAAAACAGGCAAATACACTCCCCTAGACTAATGAGTAATTTCATAGCCATTGATTTTTGACTTTGAAA